AATTTACTTGTAATAAACTCACAAAAGTGATAGCTATACTATTTGTACATGTTCTTAAGAAATATGGAATCTTTTTCGAGACAAGCATTTCTATAACTTTCTGGTGCTTTAAATGATGCTAATGAAGATCTGACATCAGTTTACCACATTTTTGAAAATCAAATTATTGGCTCAGCCTCTAATCAAGTGCAGTCTTAAAGCAGTTTTAACAACCATTTACATTTTTTTCTAAAATCCTCACTCTGCCATTGCTATGGGGTCCCTGACTAGAAATATCAAGTCTACATGAATATAAAAAACAACATTAATACAGTCTGTTTTTCAAAGAAATTGAGATTAATGCAAAATATTTGAGTTCTGTTTTTTATATGAAACATAAATATGTATTCACTGGCAAAGGCTTCTCTAAGCCTCGGTTTCCTCATCTATCAGTTGGGGGACAATCCTATTTAGCTCAGAGGGTTGCCAGGAGACCTAGTAGAATACCAAATAATAAATACTAAGCACAGTGCCTCCCAACATGTACTGTCCTTGGTCTGTGCTCTAATATCGTAGCAGGGTATTAGAGCCAGGACCCACAACCGGGGGGCTTAATTACCCAGCTTGCAGCTTTCAACTCTGTTGGAAACAGGTTTATAACAATGGGAAAAATCCACACCGAGACAATGGATCACTCAGCAAGGCTAGTTTACTTCCTACAGGAAGGGTGCAACTTGCCAGCAGTCTTGCCATGAGATCACACCTGAACAAAGGAGACAGGGACATTTATAACTTGCATAACCTGACACAATTGTCTTACTGCTGTGTCCAGTTTCCATTGGCCGGAGCAGGACCTCACATTCTATGTTTGAGCCGATTGGCTAAAAACTTGGAAATTTCCTGAACAGATAAGGGGAAAGAAGATGGCAAGGAAGAAGAGGAAGCTGGTCAGGAGGAGGTCAGGAGGGTTTCCAAATAAGGAATGGCATGTGCCAGGGTTTGGAGCTTGCCCAGTTCTGGTCAGACATGCCAGAGTGAGTCAAGGTAGCTTGATTTAAGATGTAGCTGCTTTAGAGAATATATATACATGGTTATATGTTTATGCTAATAGTGGAAAATGGCCATAGAGCAAGACATTGTAGTCTAAGATATAAACTTTGGGCCAAGGCCGGTGGATCACAAGGCCAAGAGATTGAGACCATCCTGGCCAACATGGTGAGACCCCGTCCCTACTAAAAAAATGCAAAAATTAGCTGGGTGTAGTGGTGCATGCCTGTAGTCCCAGCTACTCAGGAGGCTGAGGCAGGAGAATCACTTGAACCCAAGAGGCAGAGGTTGCAGTGAGCCAAGATCATGCCACTGCATTCCAGCCTGGTGACAGAGCAAGACTCTGTCTCAATAAATAAATAAATAACTAAAGATATAAACTTTGAAAAATTTTCCCATCTCTCACAAACTCATGGGAGGAAGTATGGTAGCAAATAAGGCAGGAACTGGAGTGCACGAACAATGGAACCAACCAGCTGCTTCAGCGCTGGCAGGAGCAAACTCCACTCACTTGGACCCACTGTGCTCCACCCCTTGCAGGGAGAAGCACGTGGGTGAGTGGGTGCAGGAGCCAGGGTGAGCACTTTTGGGACCCAGCAGGAGTGAACTCTGTGCCGGCCCCGTGGCAGCATCTAGGGGTGGTGCCTGCAATCCCTGAAGCTCCAGAGAGTGTTCCAGTGCTCTTTTAGCTCTGCTGTCCATGGACGGCCTAAGTGTTAACAGCTCAGTGGTCCCTCTGCCTTTTCAAGTGAGGCGGCTGCCTTCCGCCAGCAAAGACAAAGGGCAGGTTGTGATAGCCTTTGGTATCCACACTAGTGACACCCAAGCTCTCATCTGGCATCCAGGATAAATGAGGTCACACAAACGAATTGAAGGATGGTAAATGTGGGGGACTTGATTGCTGATGAAAAAGGCTCTGAGCAGGAAGGGAAGCTGAAAAGGGGATGGAGCGGGAAGGTAATCTTCTCCTGAAGTCCAGCCATCTCCGGCCAGATTCTTCTCTGATGTTGCACCATCAAGCTGTCCCTCTGACGTCAAGCCACTTCTCTCTGATGTCCAAGCTAGTCTCCAATATGCAGCTGCTTCTCCTCTCTCTGCCAGCTGAGTATGAGGTTTTTATAGGCACAGGATGGGGCAGGGCAGGGCCAAGGGTGGTTTTGGAAAAGGCAACATTTGAGTGGGAAAACGGATGTAAGTTCTCACTTTGGACTGCTGTTTCTGGCTTGAGGGTGAGGTGGGGACCTGCCCCTTTCTGCCTAGATTTTCTCTGCCACCTTTCTCTATCATTGTATCAGTATTATTCTTATCACATGGCCCTGAGTTGGAACCATCAGGTCCTGCAAACTCCAGAGCATCTGCTGCATCTTGACCCCCTCCAGGGGAATTGGTCCCAGACAAGGGTCTCCGGGAAAGAGGCACATCAACTAAATGTGAAACCCTCTCCAGTTCTGGAAATGCTGGTTCTGCTTTCCAGGGCATCAGAATCCTCCATTTTGTGACCCTGCTGCTTTACAAGAAAGAAACAACAGTTGAAACACTGGGAATTTTCCCCAAGAGTGAGAAGGCACAGAAAGGAGAAAAGCTAAAGAAGAGAATGAAAGAGCCCCAAAGAGAATTGGAAAGTGAGAGCAGGTCATTCACCAGGGCTCATTCCTGCCATCCAGCCCCAGCATCTGGCTGCTCAGCAGACTTTTCTGCCAATGCTCACAGCCACCTAGGCCTGGGCCGGGCACCTCTGCTGGCACCCATGATTTCTCTGCCTGCTCCACCATTGGAACCCCATGCCCCAGGCTCCCTCCCTGGAGGCCATCTCAGAAGGAAACACCAAGGGGAAGACAGCCTTTTAAGAAGTGTGGACCCCATGTTAAATTGAGACCCCTCAGATAGATACAGCTTTGAAGCAATTGATTTTCTATGGTGTCATAGGGAGACCTGCCCTCCCTAAAGTTTAGAAAACTGTCTGGGACCATATGTAATGGAGCTGGAGTCAGAAGTTTTCTACCCAAATCTGTCACAGAGGAGACAAAACTAGCACTGGTTCATGATAGACGGCTTCAATAGAACCGCTTCAGCAAAGGGCCAGCAAGCATATGAAAATGCTAGAGAAGAACAAGGCACTTTATCCATGTCCCCCACGCACCCTGCCTCAGCCCTGGGGCAAAAGAATCTTTGTGTGAGCCCAGGCAGTTGGCAGGGACCTGAGGGGTTAATGCATCACTTGCTCAGAGCAATTGCAACACTGCTGCTAGAATTATCTTTCTCTCTCAGTTCCCATCACAGTCCTCTGCAGCTTAAACATCCTTGAGTTTCCTGTGGACCCGCAGGCATCTTCACATGGCATTGAAGTCCCTTCCCAGTCTGGCTCTCAGCTCTGGTCCCCTCAGCCTCCCATAGTTCTGAACCTAATGTTGGAAACAGGTGCTCAGTGCCACAAAGAAAAATCAGCACTGAGACAAAGGATCTCTCAGCAAGGCAATTCCTACTTCCTGCAGGAAGGGTGCCCTCACCAACCATCTTGCCACAGAGAGTACAGCGAACAAAGGAAAAGCAGACATATTTATCCCTTACACATTTGGGGTCGTCCTTACTGCTGCGTCTCCATTGGTTGGAGCCAGACCTCACAATTTAAACTAAAACCCAGTTGGCTAACAACTTAAAACTTTTTTAAACAGGTAAAAGCAATGGAGAAAGAAAGTCCAAATAAGGAAGGGGCATAAGCTGTAAGCTGGGACATGCCTGTGAGCACATCCAGCACAGATATCTTCCTTAAAGTACAAGGACATAGAATGTAGGACGTGCCTGTAAGCATGTCAAACTGCTATATAGGATAGGGCTTAACAAAGAGTAATTAATAAAAAAGCAAGAAGGATTTATTCTTTAACAAGAAAGGAAACTTTGAAGGGGAACTTTTCTACTTCCCACAGTAACAAGCCTCATTACACACTCAGCCTGGTCATCTCTTTCCTTTCATCCTCAAACCCTAGTTCTAATCCTGCGTCTCTCAGAGCACATTGCAGAGCCCCATGCAGACACGCTGCCTGCTTTACCACAGCCTGTGATAATTTCACCAAATACATTTTTAGTGTCTCAGCTCAGAAAGTTAGAGTGGTTAAAAGGCTCTGAGGTCAGTCCACCTGGCCCACTAGCCAAAGCCTCTTCAGTATTTAAGGACTCTTTCAATATTTGTTTCTGCTAGTTTCTAAAACTTGGGACAGAAGGCAAAAAGATATTGATTTCACTGATAAAACAATGTGTGGGTACATTGCAGGTTGGTACTGTGGAAATGCCTCAACCCAGACTCACCTCTGAGCTGAGTTAGTTTCAGATGTTGAGTCTGCAGTTGGCAGGGACAGGGTGAGATTCGTCAGTGCACGTGTGTGTTTGTGATTGGGTTGGGAAAGTTTGCTGACTTCCAAAACCTCCACCAGACACTAGCAGGGGTTCCATAAATCCCAGAATTCCAAGGGGATTGGATTTTGCAGAAAGATGTTCACATACAGGCTACCAGAATTCTTTTCCTTTTCCTTTTCTAAAGGAGTACTGAAGAAGAAAATAAGGCAGAGATACAAAACAGAACCATAGTTTGCTAGGAGGGCAGAGCAGGGCTGCTTGGTTCAATTTGTTGAGAAGATCAGCGAAGCATCAGAAAAGATAAGGAGAAAAATCAGTCAGAACCAAGTCAGTGTTGTGAGTTTCAGCAGCATCTGACTTAGCCAGAAGGTACTTAGAAATGTATTTTGTTTTATCACATATAGTCTTATGTTTACTTTACCATATTCCCTGGCAACACAAGGTTCCTTTAAAGTGAAGTCTGTAGCCTTGTCTTATTGACTCATTAATATTTCATCTAAAACAATATAACATCTTAAACTGAAACCTAAAGGTAAGATTAGGACACAAGCATTCAGACAGGTTTGTTGTACAGCTGGACTATGCTGAGTCGGTTAACATTTTCATTTCTTTTTTTCTTCTAGAAACAGGGAAAATTGACCAAGAGATTCACAAATACAACACCCCGGGATTCACTGGTTGCCTCTCCAGAGTCCAGTTCAACCAGATCGCCCCTCTCAAGGCCGCCTTGAGGCAGACGAACGCCTCAGCTCACGTCCACATCCAGGGCGAGCTGGTAGAGTCCAACTGCGGGGCCTCACCGCTGACCCTCTCCCCCATGTCGTCCGCCACCGACCCCTGGCACCTGGATCACCTGGATTCAGGTAAAGTCTCCAGCAATCTTGGGCAGATTGCTTCGTTTCTTTAAACCTCGGTCTCTTGGGACCATGGAATGGATTTAATATCAGCACCTCACTGTAGTGTCAGTGGAGGATTAAGAAAGAGCAAAGGAATGTGTGAGAAGGGCGTTCTCAGGGCAGCACTTAGCACGTCTGAAATACTTTAGGCCAAAAATAAGTAAGTTGAAGGTGAAGAATGTAGGAACTATTAGCTCTTCATTGAGTTAAATTATGAGTTGCCTAAACATGTCTGTGCCATGACTGTGGGGTGATTTTTATCAATTCGCTTTCTCACTTTTGCCTCATGACCGTCAATGACTTGCGGCCACGTAGTCTGTGTTTTAAGAAGAGATTTACCTAAAGCAATATAGAGATCCATCTCCTGGCTCTGTATTTATATGAATGGTACTGTAGGTTTTGTAGATCCTTAAGAGGTACATTTAAGCTTGCAAAACTCAGTGAATTTAGTCTCACTTCTTTGAGTGGTAAGACACAGTTTGAAAGCATGGGACTCAAATGAAAGGATGTAGCTGTTGGCTGAAAAACTGAATGAAAAGAGTATATACATCTGCCTGGGTGGTAGACAGCCTATTAAGCTGTATCTCAGGAGACAGGTCCTACTCCTAGCTCCACCTAAATTGGCCTTGGACAATTCAGGTGACCTCTCTAAGCTTCTGCTTTTTAGCCCATGAGGTAAAGAAGGGGAGGGGAGCATAGCCTCTAACTGACCTCCAAATCGAACATTCAGTGGGTCTCCAGGCAACACGTGATGTTGCTGATGTGAAAACGGGAGATGAGGAGGCAGGAAGCAGCACAGCTGCAAGGTCGGGCTTCCAGCACCATCGCCGCCTCTCACCAGCAGATTGACCTTGGGCACTTTTCATAACCCCATTCCTCAGTTTCCCCATTTCCTAAATGGAGTTAATAAGACCTAACTCATGGAATTCTATTTAAAGCAGTGTGATTAAATGTGATGTGTTTAATCACAAGCATGTAGCAAGTGTTAAAGTTTAGCTACGATAATATTAATAATCACGGTTATTATATCAGACACAATTTGCTATAATGCTTGAACGCTGAGCAAACGCTTCGAAATCCTCTGGCCACATAAACTTGTAATTTGTTACAGCTCATTCTCTAAACCTTGTGCATTTGATAGTTTTAATCATGTTCCGACCCTGCCCAAGGTCTGGCTTCAGTGCAGCTACTGTCATCGTGATTCCTTGCCAGGGTTGTGCTGCCAAGCTTTGTGAAGCTTAGAAAGAAGCCAAAATTGCCCTGTTGTCAGAATAGCCAATTTACAGACGAAACAGTCCTCTTTGTTCCTCACACATGGATTCTTAGAACCTGACGTGGGGCGCTGTGTGCTAAGGGCACATATGAAGAATTCCCTTTTATGAATGCTGTTAGGGTTACACAGCAGTCTGGCTTTTCCTCGTGGGCTGCCTTGAACAACGGAAAGTGTTCCTAATGCCGAAAGAAGAAAAGTAAGAGTGAAAACACAAGAGGAGAAAAGGCATATCAGGGCCAGAGAGGAACAGACACCTCTCAGATGAGTTCCTCCAAAGGCCCAAGTAGACAAATACCATAAATGATCTTTGCAATGCACGAGTCCTGCTGCTGTTAAAGGGACCCACTGCCTGAGGCCATGAGCACCTGTGGTCTAAATCAGGGTGAAGAGGCTAGTTTCTAAAACACCTAGATCCTACCTTGGGCCAGTAGGAGTTCCTATGTATTATGACTTCATTAGGAACGTGTATGTTTTTAAGATCTGTGAGACATGATTGTAGGGACCGAAGAGTTTTAGTTCCTTTATTTTTAAAAAAGCATGCTTTGTGCATGACATTTATGGATTGATGGATGGAGGGAGTCTCACTCTGTTGCCCAGGCTAAAGTACAATGGTGCCATCTCGGCTACTGCAACCTCTATATCCCAAGTTCAAGATATTCTCCTGTCTCAGCCACCTGAGTAGCTGGGATTATAGGCACCTGCCATCATGCCCACCTAATTTTTATATTTTTGTAGAGACGGGGTTTCACCATGTTGGCCAGGCTGGTCTTGAACTCCTGATTACAGGAGTCTCCTTGATTGATTTATGCAACTGTATTTGGGGAATGTATCTGTTAGTATTTGATGTTCAAGTGAAAATTCTGTAACTCTGATATCACAGTAGGCCCATGCTATGTAACGTAAGATCCATTTGCAGAAAAATTTCCTCTTACCCAGTGTCCAGCAGGTGAAGTATTAATCCAATTGTCATGAAACCAATTACAAGGACAGAAAACAGTTGGCTGGGCGGGGTGACTCACAAGTGTAATCCCAACACTTTGGGAGGCCTAGGTGGGCGAATCACCTGAGGTCAGGAGTTTGAGACCAGCCTGATGAACATGGTGAAACCCCTTCTCTACTTAAAATACAAAAATTAGCCAGGCGTGGTGTCACATGCCTATAATCCCAGCTACTCAGGAGGCTGAGGCTGGAGAATCATTTGAACCTGTGTGTTAAAACGCTCTCTGAATGAAGAGACCCCCCTAAAGAGGCTTTGTGTGAGCAACATGGCTCTTTATTCACCTGAGTGCAGGCAGGCTGAGTCTAAAAAGAGAGTCAGCGGAGGGCAGTGGGATAGAAGTTGGTTTTATAGGTTTGGAATAGGCAGTGGAAAGTTGCAGAAGTTACAGTTCAGGGCAGTTTTTGCAAGCTGGGAAGGGATCATAGGGTCTGGTGCCATGAGGTTGACCAAGGTTGATTACACAGCCAGTTGCCTTATCAGTTGAGGCAGGAATAGGGAACAACAGAAGAATGTCTCAGAGTTAATTAGGCACTGCAGGCATTGATCATTCTTCCCCTTTTGTGGTCTTCCAGTTACTTCAAACTTTCTAGTTCCAGGAACTCATCTGGAATGTACTTGCAGATCACAGAGGTTACCATGCTGTCCATGGCATGGTCAGTCAGCTTAAAAGACCTTACAGTTCTGTCTTTTCATATTAATAATATAAGGGAAAAGGAAATGAAGAGTGCAGGGCAGTGGAATATTAGGAAGGCTGACACAGAGGGGCGGTGTTTCTCAGGGCTTCTTTGAGAGGGATTGGGAGTGATGCAGAAACCTAAAAATAGGAAAGAATTTAGACTGCTGGGCGATCTTGGGGCAAGGGGTGATACTGGGTGGTTGTTAGAAGGAGCATTTGTTGTATTGACTAGTGATCACTTGTATAGAGTTTTTGGAGGAATTGAGAGATTAATCGGAAAACACGGGGTCCAAATAAGAGAATGAGAAAGCTAGATAGGTATCTAGAGGACTAAGGATTGGAAGAAGCCATGACTCCCAGTTAGAGTGTCCAGAATAACCATTTGCCTGATTAGCAAGCTTTGGGGCTTTGTCTTTTAATCTATTGATGGCATCAGATATGAGGCCAGACTGGTTTACATAAACACATTCTTCACTTAAGAATAGGCGAAGACCTCCTTCCTTAGCAGTCAGTAAATTAAGACCTCAGCGGTTTTGGAGGACAATTGCAGCCAGGGAATTGACTTGACCTTGAAGAAGGGATAGAGATTAAGTTAATTCTGCAGTGCTAGCAGAGAAATCATTAGACAGGCTACGGAAGGTGACAATTGAAGGGGGAAGGCCTGCTATGCCCGTGCCGAGTACAGTAGTAATTCCTAACCCTACAAGTAAGGGGATCAGTGGAATGACCTGCTTGTGTCGTGTCGGGACCACAAGGGGAACAGGGAAGCTTCTGTCTTCATTGACAAACCAAATTTTGGGAGTAAGGAAAATTTGGGTACAAGTGCCTGTCCAGTTGGTAGGAAGGCAGATGTAAGGAGAAGAATCACAGAGGAAAAAAAGTCCTTGGCTTAGACAGCTGGAAGTGTTAACTGAAAAGGTGAGAAAGTGTTCCAAGGGGGTTGGGACTTTGGACCCAAATACCAAGGGAACCAGCAAGGGCTGTGGCTGTCAAAGGTTGTAGCAGGGTTTGGGAGGGTAACTGTGTATAGGGAGAGCTTTTGTTTTCATGGTGTATGAGAAAGCGTTTGGTATCTGTGAGTAACCATTCACTTTCATTAACAAGGTTAGGTATAAGCAGGCAGGAAGAGGGGTCTGGAGGAGAATCTGGTGAACAACGGGAGGGCAACCAAGGATGGAGTCAGAGACAAGGTAAATGCCTACCTAGGCAAAACTTGGTTTATTTGCCAATCTTGTGTAGGGGAAACTCCGCGGGCCTGGTGTATAAGAAAAGGAGGCAGTCTGAGAAGGCCCTGGGGAGAAGAGTGACAGATAGAACATTGAGATGTGATTGTTGTGAGGATGGAATTCCGTGATGGAAAATAAATAAGGGGTTCTAAAAGACTAGCCCAGGGCTTGTATCCTACATGGAAGTGGTCATGAAAGGATTACAGGACAGAGTGAGCTTGTGAGGCAGGGAGGAGGAACTTCCTGTGGTGTAAGAACCATTTGCCTTGCGTAGGAGCAACTGGTAAAGTGAGTTTTCGGAGGAAGAAAAGGTAAGGGAGCTAGATGAGAAGGAAAAAGACCGGCCTTGTTGGGGAGGTACTGGGGTGTCCCCTGCTGCTTTGTCACCTAAGGCATTTCCTTGGGCAGTAGAATCTGATGGTTTTTGGTGTCCTCTGCAGTGGATCACTCCAGCCTTGGCTGGGAAGAGAGTGGCCTTAAGGAAGACCTTTATTAAGGGGGTGTTGATAATAGAGGATCCCTGTGTGGTTGGAAAACCTCTTTCTGCCCATATGGCAGCATGGTGGTGTAGGATGTGGAAGGTGTATTTGGAGTCAGAGCACAGTTCAGCTTGCTGAGAAGTGGTGGAGGGAAGGAGCGTGCCAGCCTCGATACTAGATGAGTGGGATACAACAGCATAGCCAGCTTTGGCCAGCGCCAACGGACTGGGCTTGGAGGAACTGCCATCAATAAACCATGTGTGGTCTGGGTCTGGAATAGGAAAAAGAGAAATATGGGGAAATGGAGAGGACA